CCCGCGCTGCGTACCCGACGGCGCGCACCGCCTGCTCTTCTGCCAGCAGCTGGTGCGCTGCCTGGGCCGCTTCCGCTGCCCAGCCGAGGGCGAGGAGGGCGCCGTGGAGTTCCTGGAGCAGGCCCAGCAGGTTAGCGGGCTCCTAGCTCAGCTCTGGCGAGCCCAGCCCGCCGCCATCCTGCCCTGCCTCAAGGAGCTGTTCGCGGTCATCTCCTGCACAGGTGCGTGGGCAGCCCAGGCTGGGGCGGGAACTCGGGCTGGCCCTGATGCGGGTTGCACAAACCGGCGGACTGGCAATGCTCATTTTTAGTGAGCAGATCTACCTTGGGTCTTTGCTGTGGGTGTCATCCCATGATGGGGCTGGAAATGCCGGGAACACACCATGTGGGGCGGAGGATGAGATCAGTTTGGCAGGGCAGAATGGTGGGTCCTGGGCTTTGGGTCAGGAAGGCTCCTCTGGAGACATTAGCATCAGGCAGCAGGGGAGCTTGCAGGCGATACCTAAACTCAGAGTGTATCTTTAAAAAATTTTCATTTTTATTTCATGTGTATGAGTGTTCTACCTGTGTGTCTGGTGCCCGCTGAGGTCAGAATAGGGCACTGACCCCTGGAACTGGAGTTTAAGGACAGTTGTGAGCCACCATGTGGATGCTGGGAACCGAACTCCGTCCTCTGCAAGAACAGCAAGAGTTTTTAGCCATTGAGCCGTTTCTCCAGCCCCTGAACTCTGGAATCTTGACATCCAGTTGCCAGCAGAAGTGGATCTTAGATTCTAGTGTGGATGAGTGATCTGAGGTCTGTGATTTCCCTGATCGTAGGGCTGGGCAGGGGGAAGCAGGGAAGAGCCAAGGCCAGCCTGTGTACGGGAGCCTGTCTCCTAAACAATTGCAAAGGAGTTTGGCATTAAATGTGCCTTCTCACATCTCCGCCTTTGTGTAGCTGAACCTGGAATGTCCTCTCCTCCCTAGGCTAGCTCCAGCATTAACTTTTCTGAAGGACTTTTTTCTATTTTTGTTTTTTTGAGACAGGGTTTCTCTGTGTAGCTTTGCGCCTTTCCTGGAACTCACTCTGTAGCCCAGGCTGGCCTTGAACTCACAGAGACCTGCCTGCCTCTGCCCGGCTGAAGGGCTTTTCTTTACATGCACATTTGGGCCTTAGTGCTTCCTCCTGGTGTCAGCATGTGCCAGCGAAGGGTTTTTGAATGAATGCGTTACGATGGGATCAGAGACTTTGATGCTGTAGCGGGAGGGGAGGTGGCCCCATGTGTCATTTGCAGAGGCCCAGCCTAAGTAGTGGTGGCATGAGGGTGTGGAGAGCTCAGTCTAGGCCCTGTTCCAGAGGAGGAGCCGCCGTCCAGCGCCTTGGCCAGTGTGGTCCAGCACCTCCCACTGGAGCTCATGGATGGGGTGGTCCGCAACCTCAGCAATGATGACAGTGTGACAGATTCCCAGATGCTGACTGCCATTAGCAGGTGGGTGCTGAGGGTAGTGGGTGGGGGGTGGGCTTTCCCTCACTTTTCTCTGAAGCTCTTGACTCTGGGTGGGGACCCAGGCTATCGGTGGTCAGAGGCCAGGCTCTCATGCCTGTTGACTCATCTGTGAGTTCTGCAGTACTTCTCTGCTTGGCCTTGGCTTGGATGTAAAGGACACAGTC